GGCCGGCACCCCCCCCCCAGACAAGCTATGCCTGTGTGGATGCAATTCACTTGACCATGGCTCCAACACACCACACACCTCCCTTCTCCCCCTTGGGGACAGGACCCAACCCCTCCCCCAGGGCTTCCCTTCCCCCCCTTGGGGACAGGACCCAACCCCTCCCCCAGGGCTTCCCTTCCCCCCCTTGGGGACAGGACCCAACCCCTCCCCCAGGGCTTCCCTTCCCCCCCTTGGGGACAGGACCCAACCCCTCCCCCAGGGCTTCCCTTCCCCCCCTTGGGGACAGGACCCAACCCCTCCCCCAGGGCTTCCCTTCCCCCCCTTGGGGACAGGACCCAACCCCTCCCCCAGGGCTTCCCTTCCCCCCCTTGGGGACAGGACCCAACCCCTCCCCCAGGGCTTCCCTTCCCCCCCTTGGGGACAGGACCCAACCCCTCCCCCAGGGCTTCCCTTCCCCCCCTTGGGGACAGGACCCAACCCCTCCCCCAGGGCTTCCCTTCCCCCCCCCAATCTCTCTCATAAAACTCCAATAAAAATGGATCTAACCTACGGCCGCCCCGGGACGCTACGTATAAGGCCACGTCACCAACATATCGAAGCACCTCTCGGCCTGTCAAGCGCTGAGCCGCACGACTCCGGGGGCGCACTCAGCCCCATTGTACAGGTGGGGCAGTGAGGCCCAGCGAGCCCCCTCCCAAGCGCGCACAGCAAGTCCGTGACGAAGGAGGGACTCCAACCAGGGGGCAGAGCAGCATGTCCCAAATTGGGGCCCCAGCCTGTGATCATTCTGCCCCTCATCCAGCTGGGGGTTCTTCCGCAAGAAGCTGCCAGTGTAGACATAGCCATGGTGTCATGTGCTGGAAAGGATTACTAGGGACTCTGGAGCTTCAGGCTGTGTCTAGACTGGCATGACTTTCTGCAAATGCTTTTAACGGAAAAGTTTTTTCATTAAAAGCATTTGCGGAAAAGAGCATCTAGATCGACGTGGATGCTTTTGCACAAAAGCACTTTTTACGGAAAAGCGTCCGTGCCAATCTAGACGCGGTTTTGTGCAAGAAAACCGCCATCGCCATTTTCGCCATCGGGGCTTTTGTGTGCAAAACAATACCGCGTTGTCTACACTGGCCCTCTTGCGCAAAAGCATTTGCGCAAGAGGGCTTTTGCCCGAACGGGAGCAGCATAGCATTTCTGCAAGAACACTGACAATCTTATATAAGATCGTCAGTGTTCTTGCGGAAATTCAAGCGGCCAGTGTAGACAACGTTTTTCTTGCCAGTCTAGACTCAGCCTTCAGTGTTTGCCAGTGACTATTTAACCTACGAAAAATTAAAGAAAAATACAGAACCTGCTCGGATCATAAGAACAACCATTTTGGCTCCACGCAATGGTCCAGCTAGCTCAGTGTCCTGTCTTCCGACAGTGGCCAATGCCAGGTGCCCAGAGGGAGTGAACAGAACACGGAATCATCATGTGATCCCTCCCCTGTCCCCCATTCCCAACTTTTGTAGACTCCCACTTCCTAACTCTGAGGTCCTATAACAGCAGGGCCCTCTCTCTTGCGAGGGAATGGGAATTGTACAAGACCAGAGCTGCAGAGAGCACGGTGTAAGACAAGAGCCACTGAGCAAGCGTGATCGCCAGGGTCTCCTTCTGAGCCTGGTTTGTGCTGGGCACACATCAGAAAACGCTGAGAGTTAGAAAGCCGTTTGGTTTTATTTCAGTGATTTGCAATTGCATTTTCCATCGTATCGTTCGTCACCTTTCACGCATTTTCCATCACTAAATAGGCTTAAAAACAAAAAGAAAAACAATGCTCAAAACCAATTTGCCTTGCTTGCAAAGAAAACCACCCAGCTTGATGCAGCCGGACACGTTTTATACAACTGTGCAAATGCCATACTGTTCATAGTGCCACAGCGTCAACTCCCCACTGAAAGACAGAGCTACAATCTCCCAGGGGGCGGACATGCGTTATCTTCCCAGCCAGCAAGAATGTGCAGGCGTTTTATCTGCCATTAGCACACGGTCCCTGCAGCAAAAGGAGAGAGAAGCTCCAAGACTGAACACACAAGTGATACATATCAGCCAAAGGGAAATGTAAACTGTGGGGGCAGAGCAAGGGTGAGAAACAATCGAGATGTATTCTTTTTCAGTGGTACACTCCATTCGCAAAACCTCAGGGCTCTTGAGGGAGAGAAGACCACAGTGGGAGTCAGTGAAAAAGATCTAATTCAATTATAGAATCGTAGAACTGGAAGGGATCTCAAGAGGTCATCAAATCCGGGCCCCTGCCCTCATGGTAGGACCGACCACTATCTAGATAAGTGTTTCTTCAACTTTTTAAGATCGAGGAACACCAAACAATATTTTTTTATGTGGAACACCAAGGATTGTTTTGTTGAGAAAAAAAAAAGTTGGGAAAGTTATTGAGAAAAAAAAAAGGTCACCTGCCCCTTTAAGAGCAGCCATTTTGAATTCTGTTCTTCGCAGCATACAGTTTAAGAAAAACTGATCTAGATCATCCCTGACAGGTGTCTGTCCAACCTGCTCTTAAATATCTCCAGGGATGGAGATTCCACAGCCTCCCTAGGCAACTCATTCCAGTGTTTAACCACCCTGAGAGTTAGGAAGTTTTTCCTAATGTCCAACCTAAACCTCCCTTGCTGCAATTTAAGCCCATTGCTTCTTGCCCTATTCTCAGAGGTCAAGGAGAACAATTTTTTCCCCTCCTCCTTATAACACCCTTTTAGGTTCTTGAAAACTGCCATCGTGTCCCCTCTCGGGCGTTTCCTTTCTAAACTAAACAAGCCCAGTTCTTTCCATTTTCATTCATGGGTCATGTTCTCTAGATCTTTAATCATTTTTGTTGCTCTTCTCTGGACCCTCTCCAATTTCTCTCCAATGACTCAAGTCTCTGGGTCCAATCGGACAACTCATGGAAATAGCCCAACGAAACAAACAGTGCATTGGGCATAATAGGATAGGGGTGTTACTTGGGTGGATGTGCACGTATTAGACGGTAAGAGGATACACAAAGAGGACAGAATTCAAATATTCAGGCAGGTTTTCTTTGTCAGAGAGCCAGGATTGACGTCAATGTAAAAAACAAGTTCAAAATAATTTCACGACCCCAAGTCCTCCTGCCAATTTTTGAATACTGATTACAGGCGGAAATCACGGTTCAGGTTACAGGCCACCGCCAAGAAAAGAAGTGTGAAATGTAGCTCGGTTTTCCCAACCAGCACTTCAACGCAACCTTGCTTTGAGGATTTCCACCTTTTTGTGGTGACTATTTCACACTCTGATCATTCGTCCTTGTAGTGGCCTCTTTGCAGAGATACAGAATGGACATTTAGGTGAGCTCTGAGCAGACTTTGGCAAACAATCCAGATGGTGTCAGGGTTGCACAGTTTATCAGCATTTGCAAAAGGATTACGTGCAATACATTGAGGCAGTCAATCACACGGAAGTCCCAGCTGAGACCGAAAGTACTCAAGCAAAAAATACCAGGGCAAGCTAAAGAGCTGGAATAAGAGTGAAACACACACGACAGCAGCTCCACAAGCCCACGTTTCTGTTAAACCCCCGCTTTCTATTGAATGTGTTGATCAACCCACTAGAAATGAGAGCGCAACCTCAATTTGACGTATTTCACTTACAGGATTCCAAGAGAAGGTTGCATGTTTAACTTAGCAGACACGCCTGTGTTCGTGGGTCTGACTCGTTGATAATACTGGAATACCGAATGAATGTCTATATTTTAAAAAACACAGTCCTTGATTAGCAGCACTAAAAGTCTAGGTCGTCTTGGTCAATCTCATCGGCATTTTCGGTCTTCTTTTTAGTATCGTGGCCATTACTGGTGTGTCCTTTGTTTTGGGGGTCAGCACCATCCTTCCCTCCAGCCACAGGACTGGGGCATGCGGATGCTCTGTCCTCTTCCTCCTCCTCATCTTCCTCCTCAATGTCAGGATACATCTTTGCAGACTTGCTGCCTCCATCAGCGTTCGCCTCCCTGCTGGGGTCGTCATTCGGGTTCCCATCTTCTCCTTCCTCTCCTTCGCTTCCATCCTCTGACCCTTTCTGGGATTGCTGCGAACAGTTTCCCATGGAGGAGTTATAAGAGAACATAGCTGCTTTGGTCAGAGTCTCTGATCCTTTGCTGCAGTCTTGGTCCTCCACCACAGTAGAGGCCATCTCAGGGACCTCACCATTCCTTGCCTCTCTGGCTTCTTCATTGTCTTCCTGAGGTTCATCACCGGCTGCTTCGTCACCATTCTGTGCACACTCAGGATCTCCTTCATTTTCATGTTCTTCCTCTGCTGCCGGTGCCTCTGAACATGCCTCACATTCCACCTCTGGGCCTGTTTCTTCCACAGCCTCGTCCCCCACATCGGCCTGGGGCTCTTCTTCGTTTCTGGCTAGGGGTGCTTCTTCTGCATCCTCAGCAGCATCAGAGACTCCAGCATTCGCTTCACATTCAGAGGCATTCTCTTCGTTATTGTCTCTGTCGGCCTCACCCTCAGCTCCCTCCACTTTACCCTCAGTGTCCTCCTCAGATTTGGGACTCTGCTCACATTCCTGATTTTCATTTGGTGTGTCGTCTTCTCCTTTCTCCTCCTCTTCCACTTCACCATTCCCCTCTTCCTGTTTCACTTCCTCTTCCTCATTCCCTCCTTCCTCTTTCACTTCCTCCTCTTCCTCCTTTGTTTCATCTGCCTCCTCTTTCACTTCCTCCTCTTCCTTCCCAGCTTGTTCCTCCTCCTCTTGTTCTTGTTCCTCCTCTTCTTCTTTTGCTTCCTCCCCCACGTCGCAATTTCACTTCCTCCTCTTCCTTCCCAGCTCGTTCCTCTTCCTCTTCTTCTTGTTCCTCCTCTTGTTCTTTTGCTTCCTCCTCCACCTCGCAGCTTTGATTATCTGAAATTTCATCTCCCTCAGCGGGGGCGGCTGTTTCATCTTCATTCACTTCCTGTTCTCCTTGCTCATCAGTTTCAGATTGCTCCGGCTCTTTCTCTTCCTCAGCATCTGGTTTTTGCTCTGGGGGCTCTGGTTCATATTCACCATCCGCCTCCTCTGAGTTGGTTTCCTCTCCTGCCTCTTGCGTGTGCTCACTGGGAATTGCCTCGCTGTCCTGAACGACTTCTGAGGCACAGTCCACCATGTTGTTTTCAGTTTCGTTTTCCTCCTTCCCCCTCAGGATTTGCTTTAAATCAAATGCCTTCACAATCGGGGCATTGGCGGCCACTATCGGGTTTCTTGTAGGCTTGGAAGCCATTTTCTTCCTTATGCAGGCATCACAGGGGCAGTATTCTTCTTCACTTGGTTGTTCACTAACTTCATCGACGAGAGCCACACTGATACCAAAATCTTCTTCACCCACATCAAATGATAAGTCGGTTGTCCCCTGTGGCTTACTTTGGGTCACAGTCCTGTCATTAAAGAGAGACCTATTGAGCATGGTCTGCAACCGTTGTCTTCTCTGCTCTGTCTGGATTGTTGACTCACGCCTGAGTGTTTCATTTGGAGGCTTTGGATGCCTCCTCCCTGCTCTACTTTTGATCTTCCTTAGCTCCTTCTCTATGCTCTTTTGTATTCTTTTACTCACTTCATCCTTCAACTCCGATATCATTTTATCCAGCAGTTCATTGTTCTCTAAATTCCACCTGATCTTGAACTCGTTCATAGCACTGATGTAGTGAGTCATGAACTCCTTCTCGATTTTCTTAAGAAACCTCAGCACCCAGACTGGGTCAGGGTCAACTGATTTTTGCTGGGCGATGGAGCTTGTTTTCACACTGGTTTCTGGGATGGCCTGGACGTTGGAGTCCTGATTCTCGGGAGAACCTTCCCCTACCGCCTCTTCCACATTGGATTTGGCTTCTTTCTCGCCATTAGCATCATCAGCAATTGCATCCGTTTCTGCAAGGTTGCTTGGTTGCTCTGTCACCTCATCGGTGTTTGCTTCTGGAGGGATTTCATCTCCCGCTTCAGCTTTGCTGTTTTCTTCCACTTCATTTTCACCCCCTTCCCTGTTTTCACAGTTACTACCCTGATCATCTTCATCATGGTCTGCTTCAGCACCCATCTCTGGGGAGTCCTCTTCAATGGACGCTGCTTCTCTTCCCTCTTTGGACTTTGAGCAGGATGTTGAAGGCCGAGAACATTGCTCTCCTGCTTTGCTCTGCCCCCCAGTCTCACTCAGTTCAGGTTCATTCTCTACACTTGCCCCTTGATCAGCTAGTTTGGATGTAACGGTCTTCTGGGGCAATAAGATGCAATCCCTAGCACTGGCCATGCTTCCCTCTCTTGACTCACCAGAACCGCTACCGACATCGACCCCAGAAGACGACATCGGAGTGGATTTCTGGCCTTTAAAACCTGAGCTCATCTTTATCTGGTCACTGCCTGGTTGGCCTGAACTCGGACCGCTTTTTTCCACGGTGCATCCAAACCACAGGGCCTGGAAAATGTTCAGCAGCTCTGTATATCTCGGCTTATTTAAGCTTTTTGGCTTATCCGATGGGCCTAACGGTTCTTCGTCAAGGAGCTGGAGACTGGCCAAACACGTGATCAGAATATTAGCTGAGTTACTGAGTTTCCTCCCCATGGTGGGGGATACTTCAGGCAAACTGTTTGACCGGTCAAATTTTGCCTCTTGTTTTGAGCTGAGCAATGCCTTCATGATCTGCACCGACGTCTGGATAGTGCTTGGCAAGTCCTTTCTGTGATTATTTTGGCTTGAGGTCTCAATGGACTGGCTGCATTCGGCTTGCTTGGCTTCTGCGCCTTCCAACATCCCCTCAGAAGTCTTCTCCTCTTGGGTGCATTTCTCTGCCCCCTCCTCAGTGGCCTCGGCTTCAGCTGCCTCTTCTTCCAGTTCTTCCTCGGCACCGTTTTCGCCTTCCCCTGCATCCTGTCTCTCAGCTGTTTCCTCTTCTGAGGTTTCTTGATTTCTGGCGCAGTGTGATATTTCAGTGGTTGCCTCTGTGCATTGCTCTGCTCCATCATCCTCCATTTCATATTTCATGAGCAAAGTCTCTGGAGGAATTTTGCTTAGCCATTCCTGGACCACTTCTTCTGGAGATGTATTTGGCAGGGCCGAAGGTGCTAAATCTTCTGGATCATCCATTTTCTCTTTGCAGGAAACAACGTCTTCTTTCTGCTCATCATGGGACTTATTTTCTGCCCCATTCATTGCATTCATTTCAGCTGATTTAGACCCGGAAGAGGTTGGTTTGGAAGAGTCTAATATTTCTTTCTGCTCTTTGCCCTCGGTCAGCACTGACTCCGTGCATGCGCTGATGCTGGAGGAATTCTTAAACACGGCGGGTCGCAGCTTTTTTCTGCTTGGCTTTCCTTTCGGTGGGGTGGGACAGTGCAAACTGCCCATTGAGGCCACCTCTGAGGCCGATGCTCTACTAGAATTTTCCACCCCAGCGTGAAGACTCTTCATTTTTTTCCTCCGTGGCTTGGATGACCGTGTCACACTGGACTGTGAGCAGCCATCATTGCTTGTTCTGGACACCTCTGTCTCTGCACGCTTGCCCTGAAGGTCTGAGTAAGAAGAGACTCTCGAACTTGAACTTGGGTGATAGTCGTTCCCAGCCGCCTTGGGCTGTTCACATTTTGAGCATAAAGATTCTGACATGCTTCCATGTCTAGAGCTTGGAGTCTCAGAACTAACTTGGGCATGTCCTTCTCCATCATTTCTATTAGAATTTGACACACTTGAAGATGGGGATGACATCTTACTGCTTGCTTCCGATTGGCTTCCCTGTTTGGTGCCTTTTGAAGACTTGCTGTAGCACTTAGAGGTGCTGCTTGTGCACTGGTCCTCATTATGAATGGGTGGAGGAGCTGCTTCATTCACAGATGACGTGCTTGAAAGAGGAGAGTCTGAATGTGACGTGGGGTTTCTAATCGATTTTTTCTTGATTTCACAAGAGCTTTTGGAGTAGTTAGAGGCCTTGCTGTTTGACCTTGAAACTTCTGCGTGGAGAGAATTTTTCTTCTTTTTCTTAGCGGTTGATCCACGTGATGACACGGACATTTCAGAATGGGCATCCAGATGAATCTGACTGTGCTTGGTTCTCCTCGATGCTTTGGAAGAACAGGAGGCATTGCACACGAGTATCTCATCACTGTCACTCCTCCTAATATTCCCATCCCAAGCTCGGGCCTTGGAAGCTGCTTCTACAGAGCATCGTTCACATTCGCTGAAGTCATCTTTGATTGAGTCATTGGGCACCCTTTGTGCTGATTCTGAACTAACTTCATTATCCGTGCAGTCTTCTGGTTTTGCTTCCTTCTCTTCAGCGTCTTTCTTTGGGCAGGACTCGCTGGAAAAGGAAGAGATCACTGGATCATTGTCAGAATGTTCATCCTGGTGACTCTTGGCTGTTGGCAGGATGGACTTGCTAGATCGGCTGTCTACGCAATTGGTACAACTTGAGCGTGCAGCAATTTCTTCTTCTTCTTCAGCCTTTTTCAAGCTGCTGGATGACACAGTCCTTGCCATACTGTTAGTTTCCTCACACACGCTCTTCTTACTTTGTCTGGAGTGCAGAGATGACCTGGAAATACGACTTCCAACCCTGCTGCCTTCGATTTCATCCATTTCCTCCTTTGAACACTTCACCGAAGAAACTTCCATGTCGTTTTCATCCTCGTTCTGGGAATGAGCCTGACTGGCCTCAGCTTCGTCAACAGCTTCTTCAGAATCTAGGTTGTTTTCACAGCTTGACTGTGAGCCTGGCCCTACGGATGATGCTTTTTGGCTACTGCTAGTGTTCCTTCGCGAGCAATCCTGTGACTCTTCTCCACGGGAGGCAGCTGTAGACAAAGTGCTTCGATAGTTATGCTTTTTAACGTTACAGCACTCGACTCTGTCATCTGTCGTTTCCGAATAGCATGAAGACTCCTGCACGATGTGCTCCGAATATTCTTCACTGGACGTGGTGTGGAGGCTGTCCATGGAGGTGATTTTTTTGCGGACTATCCTCCTCCGTGACGATGTGCTGGAGCGTGAAGACCGTGTGTGCCAAGTATTTCTTACGTTGGGCTCCTCTTTCCGGGAAGCATGCATAGGGTTCTTCCAGATGTCATAGTCCAGGTGTTGCTTGCCACAGCTGTGGCAATGCGTTTCCTCAGATTCAGACTCATCAAGTTTCGAGATGTAGGAATCGGCATCGCAAGGATAAAGCGACTCTTCCGCCTCCGAGCTGACTTCCAGATTCATTTTCTGCTTGGGGTCCACCCCATTGTCTCCCTCTATCCCGGACTCTTCACAGGGCGTGTTACTCATCAAATTGGACTTCTTGATCCGTGTGGACCAGTGAAGAGTCTCGTCGTTGAGCAAACGAAAGCGGACTTTCATCTCAACAGACAGACTGCCATCCTTATTCATGTGCACTCGTTTTTCAATGTCATCGTTGACTAGAGAATGAACCAGGTCCCCGGCTTTTCCATGTGGATAGCTGTCTGGGAAAGGAGCGCCGTTTTCCAGGGATGTATTGAGGCCATTCACATAGGACTTTTCTGACGATAAGGAGAATCTCATTGACCTGTTGCTTGAAGCGGACCTTGGGTGGATGACGCTTTTTTTAGCTTTCAGTCCAAAGTTCACTGGAATTGAGGAAAACGACAGAAAGGGAGCATAAGGAGAAATAAAGTAAAGGTAAACCTCATCTGAGGAAAACAAAAATAGCTGCATTTAAGTCTATGGTGCTATGCCAGTGTATCGCCAAAAAGGATCTGGATGTAATTAACAGATGTGCCATAAACTGTACATTTAGAATGAAAAGCTCATACTAAAAGCTTCTATTTTTTAGCTTTTCTTTGTAAGCCTCATGTAAATTGCAAATGGTTTGGTAGCACCTTTTATTCTATCGCAGGTTGCAGAAAAGAGCATTCCCAACAATCAGTCCCCCCATTTTGTATAGCTGTACAGATGTATTTCCTCATGTGTCTTCTTTCTTATTCATCCTAAGGACACCTGAGTTGAGGTACGGCCCAAAGGCTTTAGACAAAAGTACCGTTCAATTATTCTGTACTAGAAGATTTACCCAGCGTTGCTCGGATCCTTAACTCAATAATTTTTTGTTTTTCTTCATTTAAACCATTGCTCTGGGGTAGGGCTGGGAATGAGGGTTTCAGTCTGCAGGCTTCCCCGGGCAGAGAGAACAACTCCAGCCCTCTCTCACTGCAGCAGCTTGCAGCTAGGTGAGAAGCGCCTCACCCTGGCCACTGCAGCAGGCACAGACAAGGAAGGGTGCATGTCCCCCAGCTGGGGAACAGACAGACAGACAGAGACAAACTCTCTCAAGGACAGAGTAGAAAGCTATTCCTTTCTCCATCCCTGTCCCCTGCTGCCCCAGTGGGGTTATAGCTATCCTGGTCCACATCTCTGGCCCCTTGCCCCCCCCCTGTGGTCATTATACAGCATAAGTATACCTGCTATCACAGCCTTTCCTTTCCATGTTATGGGAAACAATTGCATTCCAGGCACATCCCATTGTCCTGGCACAACCAAACCCTGCCCTTGGTGATAAGTTATGATAAGAGGAAGCTACATACAAAATTTGGTGGCCTTAGCTCGTACCATTTAGAAGGCGTTATTGAAAAAAAAGACATGCCGACGGATGGATGGACAGACGGGCAGACAAACTCATGCACAGACAGAGTCGATTGTTTGCTGAACCACTGAGGCTACGTCTTCACTGAGAGTTCTTCCAGCAGAAACTATGCTAGTAAGAAACTCATTAGCATAAATTGCAATCTCTCCAGGACAGGCATAAGGATCTTGAGAACATAAGAACATAAGAGCGGCCGTACTGGGTCAGACCAAAGGTCCATGTAGCCCAGTATCCTGTCTGCCAACAGTGGCCAGCACCAGGTGCCCCAGAGAGGGTGGACCGAAGACAATGATCAAGCAAT